GCCCGCCTCAGCCTCCCAAAGTGCTGAGATTACAGGCATGAGCCACCATGCCAGGCCAGATTTTGTCCTTTTTAATAGTTAAAACAGTTGTATCATACTATACATAGTATATAAATGTACTACTTTAATGTTTGATCTGACTGAAGTGGAAACTTGCATTCGGAAGAATATGAGAAGTGTAAGAAATTGACACAGTAAATTGAAACAGAGCGTTACTCTGACAGGTACAATGTTTTCAGATATGCTGGCCATATGAATTTAACTCTACTGGCCATGAAGTTTACTATAACACTTCAGTCATGATTTCATATGGGTTAGTTTTCATTCACTAGTTCCTAGCTGAAACCAACTGACTCAGCACAATTTTAGGGTCACAGACTTGGACCAAATTAGTAACCCTACAGAGGAAATCTCCAATGAAGATCCCCTGCCGAACACATTTATTGAGCACCTGCAATATGCCAGCATCTTTCGGAAGGATAATAGTCCAAGCGAGTTGGGATTCTCCAGAGAGTACTGGGAGCCGTTCTGGATGAGGAAGATGCTACTGGAACGGACAGCAGTGGAAGGGAAGGCTTTGTAAATGTGTTTCTGTGATTCCCTCTCCGTGGAGTGACTGCCATTTCGGTGTGGTCTGCAGTAGGCGTCCTCTCCCTGCTCACCTGATGCTAGGGGAACATTTTGCATTTCTTGCTTTCAAATGGTGTCTACGATGTCCTTTGGGATCACTCAGTTCAGTAGATTGGACTGTGATGAGGGCAGGTCACTAGGAAAGGGTGGGGCCAGAGTTGCACTCTAAAGCAACCCCAGGCGAACATGTGAGCACACTGAAATAAGGACACTGATGAGGGAGGAAGCCAGAAGGAGCCAGCCCTCGGCTGTTAGTCCATTTGTTTTTGCCTCATTGACTTTTGCTACTGATGATCTTGCTTCCCTGTTCACTGGAGGCAGCATCATCACCTCTGAATTATTTTTCTCCTTCTCCCTAATGTTTGCAGGTTGCTTTTCATCATCTGCTATTGACTAGGAATCACATTTACGGGCAGGAGGTGGAGTGCTGGTGGTTTTCTGGCAATCGGCTTGGCAGAAAGAGTCTCCTTCCTGTTCTGAGCCCTGTGGTTCTGTAGTCATTAGTCTGACCTGAGTAGCCCATTTTCTTGGCATGACACCCCACAGCAGCAGTGGGTGGGAGACAGAATTTTTCTTGACTCCCCATCTCTATAAAAAATTAGCTGGGGCCAGGCGCGGTGGCTCACACCTGCAATCCAGCACTTTGGGAGGCCGAGGTAGGTGGATCATGAGGTCAGGAGTGCAAGACCAGCCTGGCCAAGATGGTGAGACCCTGCCTCTACTACAAATACAAAAATTAGCCTGGCACGGTGGCGGCACCTGTAATCCCAGCTGCTTGGGAGGCTGAGGCAGGAGAGTCATTTGGGTCCAGGAGGCTGAGGTTGCAGTGAGCCAAGACTGTGCCACTCCACTCTAGCATGGGCAACAGAGCAACACTCAGTCTCAAAAAAAGAAAAATTAGCTGGGTGCTGTGGCACATGCCTATAGTCCCACCTACTGGGGAGTCTGAGGTGGAAGGATCACCTGAACCTGGGAGGTCCAGGCTGTACTGAGCTTTGAGGAAGACACTGCACTCCAGCCGGGGAGACAAAATGAAACTCTGTCTCAAAACAACAACAAAAAGCCTAAACAACGAAAAAAACCAAGAACCTTTACTTTAATCGACCACTATTTCTATCTACAGAAGGCTTATTGTTTCTTGGTCACTAAAATACGATTAACATACCTTTGTAAGTCTAAACTTTGACCATGGCTGACAAATAGAAAATTATCTGAATAACTGTATGAAGGCCGGGTGCGGTGGCTCAAGCTTGTAATCCCAGCACTTTGGGAGGCCGAGGTGGGGCGGATCATGAGGTCAAGAGATCGAGACCATCTTAGCCAACATGGTGAAACCCCGTCTCTACTAAAAATACAAAAACTAGTCGGGTGTGGTGGCGTGCCCCTGTAGTCCCAGCTACTAGGGAGGCTGAGGCAGGAGAATTGCTTGAACCCGGAAGGTGGAGGTTGTAGTGAGCCAAAATTGTGCCACTGTACTCCAGCCTGGTGCCTGGTGGCAGAGTGAGACTCTGTCTCAAAAAAAAAAAAAAAAAAAAATTCTATGAAAAGCCGTAATTTTAAAGTTCCATTATCAATGCAAACATGTTGCTTATTTACCCTGGAGTCTTGGGCAACAGTGGAGAAGCACTGTGTGTGGTGTTACTACATTATGGCGGTCCTCTTCTCCTTCATCGTTGCCTGCTCAAGGCATGGGTGTGTGAACCATGTCCAGCCAAAGAGACCTGGGGAAGTTAGCTGCGGACGTTTGGAAAAGATCTCCTCCCATGTAACAGAGAGGCCCTTGAAGAAATACCTCGTTTCTTACTGTTTTTAAAGCTTTTGTAGCTTCGTAATTGTATTGTACGTATATATGAAGAGGTGTCATACATGATTCTAGAGAAAGTCCCCTAGTCATCCCACAATCACACAGTTGGCAGAGGAGAGTGATGGAAAGAACCTCTGTCCTTTATGACACTGTTGAATCACTTCCCTTATTCTTCAACTGCCTGCCTCCAGGCACCTTTTTGAGTGAAATAACTAAGTGTCTCACTACTGCTTAACCAAGTTGTAATAGAGTAGTTTGATACTTACAGCCAAAAGCAGTTTTAATTGATTCAGTACTGCTATAAACTGCCTACACAATGCCTGAAAAAACAGCACATGTTTAAATACTTTGGTTATTACTCCTATAAGTAAAATATAAAGATTAACATGTCAAAATCACCATTGATTCTGCTCAGAATCCTTCCCTACTCTGATAACTCAAAATACTCTGTCCTTGATTTCATGTGCTTTACATTTTAATCATTTGTGAACATGATTTATAACACCTTTTGAGTTGTAATCTCTCTTTTGTGCCTTCTATACAGTATGGACTCAGTAACTATTTGTTAACTGAATTAATGATTAAGGCACTGTATTTATTTAAATAAGGGATTAAAGGTGCCCACCACCACTCCTGACTAATTTTTGTCATTTTAGTAGAGACAGGGTTTCACCGTATTGGCCAGGTTAGTTTCAAACTCCCGACTGCAAGTGATCCTCTAACCTTGGCCTCCGAAAGTGCTGGAATTACAGGGGTGAGCCACTGCGCCCGGCCATAAGGCAATGTGTTTAAATTGCTTTGTTAGCCAGGTGTAGTGGCTCATTCCTGTCATTCCAGTGATTTGGGAGGCTGATGTAGAAGGATCACTTGTGGCCAGACTTTAAGACCAGCCTGGGAAACACAGTGAGGCCCTCATCTGTAAGATATAAAAGTACTTAGCCAGGTGTGGTGGTGCACCTGCAGTCCCAGCTACTCAGGAGGCTGAGGTGAGAGACTCTCTTGAGCCCAGGAGTTCGAGGCTGCAGTAGACTATGACTGGACCACTGCACTCCAGCCTGGGTGATAGAGCTAAGTCCTGTATCTGAAAAAAATAAAAAATAAAAATAAACGTATTACAGAAGTGTGCAAAAAATAGACATCATAATTCCCAACGACTGTACCCTTGTGTGTGTGTGTGTGTGTGATTTAACAGACTCACTTAATAATTAATGAGTTTGCTGGTAGTTTATTTTTCACTTTTAGACCTTACCATTGGATTTAATTCTGATGCTGGCTTCAACATGGAAGTTACATAAGAAAATCTGAAGCCATTGTGTATTTCAACCAGGATTCTTTTTAGGAGATAGAGGTCAGCCTAGTGCAGTGAAGTCTGATTGGAGGTGGACAATGAGGATCCTGCCGAGGTGCTGCCCTAAGCTTCTGTTCAGTCCAATTTAAGTTCATTCTTTTTGATTACAGGCATTACAAAGACACTTTTTGCCCATAAAATGGGCAGATAATTTTTTTTTGAGCGGAGTCTCACTCTGTCACCCAGGCTGCAGTGCAGTGGCGCGATCTCAGCTCACTGCAACCTCGAGGCCTCCTGGGTTCAAGTGATTCTTTCACCTCAGCCTCCCGAATAGCTGGGACCACAGGCTCATGCCACCATGCCTGGCTAATTTTTGTTTTTAGTGGAGATGGGGTTTCACCATGTTGACCAGGATGGTCTGCATCTCTTGACCTTGTGATCCGCCTACCTCAGCCTCCAAAAGTGCTGGGATTACAGGCGTGAGCCACCACACCATGCCTAATAAACAATGTTTCAATCTCAGAAGTTCAAGGATTATGAAACAAGAAGACCCAAGATTTGATGAAGGGAGAAACCAGAATTTAGTATGGCTGAAGACAGGTGGGCATACAGACCATGGCAGGTAGACCCTGGATGTGGGAGGGAGTGTCCATAGTAGAAGCTTCTGAGATTGGTTGGATGGATAAGTCAAGGGATTTGGGCACTGAAAGTTAGGTATAAGGGGAAAGAAAAGATATACGGAAAAATTAATTCTATTTTAAAGTTTTCCCTGGGACCAGCCATGGATAGAGGAAAATGGGAAAGAAAAGTTTTGTATGGCTTAAGTTTGTTTTTCGTGTCATTCAAAGAGCCTGCCTTTGGAGCTAAATAATTTGCAACTGTCTATCAATGTCAATTTGTACATGAGTAGAGTTTTTCTTTTTCTTGGGTTTCTGTTTCCTTAAGAGTAAAATGGGAATAATAATGTCTACTGCACAGAGTTGTTGAGATCACGTGACATCACATGTAATCTATGCTTAGCACAGTGCCTGAGACATAAGACCCCAGCCAAGCAAATGTTAGGGTTATTCCATGAATGGTGAATGAGTGTCTGCCCGGTTCTCTGCGTCAGGCACTGGTAATGCGAAGGTGAACAAGATGTGGGCTACGTTCCAGAGTATGAATGAAAGGAAGTGTGCTTATTAGAAAGGACTGCCCAACTTTACAATCTAAAGAAATACTCAAAGCACAGTCTTGCGTTTAGAAACTCAGGTATAACATGAAATGAAGACACATACAAAAGGATGGCAAATATTTATAAGCAAAAATACATACTGAACTTGAATACACAATAGGTTTGTTCTGTTCAGCTTAGAATTTGCCTTTCAAACATGTGCATTTCTGGATCATAGTGAAAATGGGACTATGATCTGCTGAAAGACTTTGTAAAGAATGAAAAGGAAAAGCTGACTATTAGAAAAAGTCGAGGAGTTAGAACATAAATGGAACGAAAACATAGACGGTTTAGATTCAAACAGGGTTAGGATAAAGATCACAAAGTACAATCATGAGCTACAGTGAGGTAGAAAAAAGAAATATTGTATCGTTTGGCAGTTGAGTATAAAATACAAAATAAAAATCATCTCTTCAAATAATGTCAACGTTAAATGAACAAAAAACAATGACAACAAAACAGTGGCTAGAGGCTCACTGGGGAGAAATAGCTAAAGCAGATGCTACAGAAGGCTGAAATAGATCGTGTAAAATACTTTGCATGCTATACAGGAGGCATTAAACCGGAGGGGATTAAGCCTGTGCTGGGCATGCTCACATCCTACCAGGGTACCCTTCAATTAAGCCAATGAAAAAGCTGGGAAATGACAGGAGCATAAGTGGTGTACCAGCAGCAGTTATTTACACTGAGGCGATTGGGAATGATTTTCTGTTTGCACTATATTCCCTTCCAAGAGCCTGTGCGTATACATGTCTGTATGCATGTTTTAGAAAGAAAAGTAATCTATGTTATACCATTAATCCAAGGCCATGTCTAAAATGTTTTGGTAATACGGACTGGTAAAGATAAATATTATTGTTTTCCTTTATGTCACAGACCTATGCGTTTTCTTAGCAAATCAATTTTTGAGCCAGAGCAGATCAGAAAGGATGTAATTGTTTAGAGTTTCAAAACATCTGGAAAGTTACTCTGGCAGTAGAGTTAAATTCACTAGCAAAACAGATGTTTTCCACTGTGGCGGGAAAATGCAGCTTTCTTATATGTATTGCATATGGTCCAAATCCATTTAAGAAGTAACTCCACCTCTTAAAGGGCCTGGGGACCACAGTGCTCTCATGGATTCTGCGAAATGTAAGCATGGCCAAGGCCATTTAGGTGTTCCAACGGCAATATTTTATAATAATCTTTTAATCTTGTGTTTTACAAAACAAAAGAACAAAGTTTAAAAAGTCCGGGTTGCCTCTCCAAGGCCTCAGTCAAAACGTTAGAATTGGGTTAAAGCCCGTTGGTAACCTTGGCAGGAGTTCTGGGAGCCAAGAGCGAGGAAGGACAGGAGGTCAGGAGAGAGGACTGTGGCCTGAGAGTTCTGGCTTTGTCTCCCAGAAAAAGCAGAGAAGCTTCTTCCCACTACACATTTGGAAAGAGTATCAGAAACTCTAGGAGACAAGACTTGTCAAAAACTCAGAAACTGTTGGGACCCAGGAACAGAGGAAATTGATTCATTCAAAAACTCATTTAGAGAAAATGTTTTCTTTTACAGAAGACTCACGTTCTTACATACAGATGAATTTTAACTATTTGATGGTACAAAGCACATATTTTAGTTTTTTTAACCCTTGTAAAAATAGGAGTAAAATTTAATAAAAAGCATTTGCATTGGTCATTTGCTAATTAATTGTTTTAAGCTAAAATGTTCCATATTCTTAGGGAACCAATTTCCTGAAAATTGAAATGTTTCCAGGAACATTTTCCTGGTTTAAAAATTAGGCTTTCAGTATTCTTGACTAAGAAAGAAATAAAAGTAAGAAGTAGAACAAAGGAACAGCTTTTTAATTGTATTAAATAATGTAAAAATATTTTTTACCAAGAGTAAGATGGAGGAAAGTATACTTGATTAAGCTAATTACATTGGTTTGGAGTCATCAGGGCTGTCAATATTTGAAAATGTGGCTCAATTATATAGAGAAGTACTTAGGTTGTCCAGGTTGCTGCTGAGCATTCCACAGTATTTGAGAGTTCCAAAAGCCCATCCTGTAAAGATAAAGGGTGTAAATCATTATTTAGATTTAGAGATACTGAGACTTGTATTATTTCCACATAAGGGTTGCCTGCTGTCACAAAATGTTTCAGATCTCTTTATAATGAGGTGCCACTGTAGCACAGGCTAGAGTACTGACAGAATTATCTGTGCTCTGTTCATCTCTGCTTGGTACGTACATGCCTGCCAAAATACAGTAACTACTATTATGAATGCTGGGATTTGGATTAACGTGTGTCAGGGAAAATGTGAATAAATCAATTATTGATACTAGGCAGCCACATCTCATTTCCAACTTATTAACACCATAAGATGATCCACTTAGGATATCATCACCATCCCTGTTTACTCTCATTCGTGTCTGAAGCTAGCTCATCAGGATTTCAGAGAGAACACCTTTGAACCTGAAACACTTTAATTTTCGCCTTGCTCCAGGGAATTGTGGGTTAGAAAGATATCATACTTTAGAGAAAAACATAAAGATCTCTCGGTGAAGATTATTTGCATTTTTATGAGAGATAATGCTATTCATCCATTGTATGGAGGAGTGCCCAGAATAGAAATGAGCAAGGAGCAAAGATGTGCTAAGTGAATAGCCCCCTAATTCCTTTTGAGACGAGTCTTCCCAGTGCACGTTACTTTGTTTGAAATATTGTGAATTTCCAAAACTGAGAATGTACCAATGTTGGTAGGTGCCAAAACACATCTGAAAGCTGGAAAAAAAATGAGTTCTCTATTTTTTGCAGCCAATCTCTCCCTTTCTTATAGCTCTACTAGGGGATAATTGAAAACTGACGTAGGGATAGGAAAAGGAGTGACTGGAGATAAAAAAGTGCAAAAAGTATGAAAAAATACGAACATGTATAATTGAAGCAGGCATGCTGAGAAAGGGCTTTGTGCAGTGATGTAGAAAGAAAATGAGGCTCGGAGTAATTCTGGGATTAACATGCATCCATTGCTACCAGTCTATCCAGCTACCGGTCTGTCCTTCTCTCTTGCTCAGAGGAAGAGAAGGAGAAAAGAGAAAGCTTAGCATAAGTGAAAGATGCCAGGTTAGGAGAAAGCTCAGGTGTTTCATGGGATATTTAGCAGACAGAAAATTGCAGAAAACACCTTCACTAGTGATGACATTAGTTTAAGACGTGTTGTGAAAGAAACATCGCTTTTTTTTTTTTTTTTCATAAATCCCTGCACTTGATTTTTTTTCTTCATGTGGAAAGAGGGGCAGAGTACAGAAAGGAAAAGGTGATGGAGAAAAAGAATAGGAACCCAAGATGACCATGACTCCTTTCCTAACCTCAGATAGGAAAGCAGAAACATGTATTTAGGCCAAATGTAAAGACAATAAAAACTTAAGATTTCTCTTTAGGCCAAGAAATGTCACAGACCAGCTTGGGAAAACATTAAAAGCTCATGAATTAAAAGGATATTAGAATAAATAGGTCTTTGGGTTTCTATTTAAATACCTCTTTAAAAGTGTAGTAAATGATTTTTCCAACTAATTTTATCAAGTGAAATCTTCCATCTGGCTTCACTGAGAAAGAATTTAAAAGTTGTGGAATAGTAGACTCAGAGCTGGAAGGAATCTGTGTCTTTTCATCCAACCCCCTCGTTTTCCTTGAGCAAATTCTACAGTGTAATGTAAACAGAATCTATCAAGCCCACATGCTCCAGACTCACTCATTAAAAACACAAAACAGCTTCTGCCACTCCTATGTTTCCTCCCAGCTACTAGTCTATCCTCTTTTCCTAGCTAAGCTCCCTGCAAAAGCAGTTTACCTTTGCTCTCTCTACTTCCTCGCCTCCCTTTCACCTTCCCAGGCCACAAAGCTGCCACTCCATTGAAATCGCCTACACTTAAATACCCTCACAAGGTACACCCTTCCATCTGTGCAAACGTCGGCTTTGAAGCCGGACAGCTGGGTTTCAGTCTTGCCCTTCTCATTGACTTCTTGTGTCACCTTAGGGAAGTTCACCTCTCTGTGCCTCATTTTCTCATCTGTAAAGTGTGGATAATAATAATCCTTACTTTACAAGGATGCCATAAGAGTTGACTAAATGAAGCTATGGAACCTGGTCAAAACATCGTCTGGCCTGTTAATAAAATACATTTCAGGGCCGGGCGCGGCGGCTCAAGCCTGTAATCCCAGCACTTTGGGAGGCCGAGGCGGGTGGGTCACAAGGTCAAGAGATCGAGACCATCCTGGTCAACATGGTGAAACCCCGTCTCTTCTAAAAATACAAAAAATCAGCTGGGCATGGTGGCGCGTGCCTGTAATCCCAGCCACTCAGGAGGCTGAGGCAGGAGAATTGCCTGAACCCAGGAGGCGGAGGTTGCGGTGAGCCGAGATCGCGCCATTGCACTCCAGCCTGGGTAACGAGCGCGAAACTCTGTCTCAAAAAAAATAAAAAATAATTAAAAAATACATTTCAGACTGGGTGTGGTTGCTCACACCTGTAATTCCAGCACTTTGAGAGGCTGAGGCAAGAGGATCCCTTGAGCCCAACAGTTTGAGCTTACAGTGAGCTATCATCTCGCCACTGCACCCCAGCCTGGATGATAGGGGAAAAAAGAAATAAAATGAAATAAAATGTGTTTTGAATTCTTAGCTATCACCATCTTTCTTGCTACATTTGTAGTTTTACTGTTAACCAGTTCACTCCTTCCAAGCTCCTGTCCATCCCTCCCTCTTTCCTGCTTTTCATGATTCATTTTTCCAGTGTATTTGAGTCCTTCTGATAGGCCAGGGCACTGGGACCACTGGTGATCTAGATAGCACACTGCATGTTTTCAAGGGGCTTGAACCCGTAGTTTTCATCTTATCACCCTAAGCTGCTGCTTCTCAGTTTTCTGTGGAGACGACTTTTCTTCTCTCTGCCTCTTGATGTCTTAAATGGTCCTTACGTTTTGTCTCCTTATTCTAACAGAGCTTTCTGAAGATGAAGATCCATCTATACCGAGTCTGTCTTCTGTCTTGACTATATTCCTAGGCCTACACTTTACACTACATATTAGTTGTCTTCACTGTTAAAAAGGCACTTCAATCCCCAGATCTCCAACAAGGAATGGATTATCTCCCCACTGCAGCCCCGTGCCTGGTTTCCCACCTGAACACCCATACCAGAATCCTCGTTCTGCTTCGACTCCTCCACATCAATCACATGACAATGTGGCTTGCTTCTCAAATGTGATCTCTTCTCTATCCTCACGTTCTAGTTCAGGCCTTCATTATTTTTTCTGTTTCTTCATGGTTCAATCTTGGTAGGTCGTATGTGTCCAGGAATTGATTCATTTCTTCTAGGTTTTCCAATTTGTTGGCTAATAGTTGCTCATAATCATCTCTAATTCTTTGCATTTCTGTGGTCTTAGTTGGTATGTCTCCTTGTTTATTTCTGATTTTATTTCTTGGGGTCTTCTTTCTTTTTTTCTTAGTCTAGCCAAAAGTTTGTTGATTTTGTTTATCTTTTCAAAACACTATCCTTTTGTTTCATTGATTTTTCTGTATTTTTTTAAATCTCAATTTCATTTAGTTCTGCTCTGACCTTTATATTTTGTTCCTTCTACTAATTTTGGTTTGGTTTGTTCTTGATTTTCTAGTTCCTTGAGGTGTATCCTTAGATTGTTTATTTGAAGTCTTTCTACTTTTTTGATGGAGGCATTTATTGTAATTAATTTCCCTTTTACTGCTGCTTTTGCTGTATTCCGTAGATTTTGGTAGGTTGTATTTCCATTTTCATTTGTTTCAAGAAATGTTTAAATTTTCTCTTAATTTCTTCACTTACCCACTGGTCATTCAGGAGAATGCTGTTTGATTTCCATGTGTCTGTGTATTCTCTGAGGTTTCTCTTTTTACTGATTTCTAGTTTTATTCCATTGTGGTCAGAAAACATACCTGATATGATTTCTACATTTTTGATTTAGTGGAAACTTGTTTTCTAGCATGTGATATGGCCTATTCTGGAGAACATTCCATGTGCTGATGAAAAATATGTGTATTCTGCAGCAGTTGGATGAAATGCTCTGTAAATATCGGTTAGGTCTATTTGGTCTTGTGCGTGGTTTAAATCTGTTGATTTTCTGTGTGAATAATCTGTTTGTTACTGAGAACGGAGAGTAGAATCCCCGACTTTTATTGTATTACACTCTCTATCTCCCTTTCCATCTATTAATGTTTGCTTTATACACTTGGGAGCTCTGGCATTGGGTGCACATATCTTTATAATTGTTACATTCTCTTGCTGAAATGATGCCACTATCGTTATAATAACCTTTGTTTGCTTTTAAAGTCTTTGATTTCTAGTCTATTTTGTCTAAATACAGCTTTTCCTGCTTTTTTTGCATTTCCAGTTGCATAAAATGTTTTTTCCACTCCTTCACTTTTAGTCTACACGTGTCTATATAGGTGAAGTGAGTTTCTTGAAGGCACCATATAGGTGGGTCTTGTTTCTTTTTCCACTCAGCCACTCTATGTCATTTGGTTGGAGAATTGAGCCCATTTACATTCAGTGATATTGTCGGTAAGTTAGGACTTACTATTGCCACTTTGTTGCTATGTTCAAGTTATTTTTAATTTCTCTCTTCCTTTTTCCATCTCTTACTGTCTTCTTTTGTGCTTAAGTGACTTGCTTTTTTTTTTTTTGAGATGAAGTCTTCCTCTGTCACCCAGGCTGGAGTGCAATGGCATAATCTCAGCTCTCCGCAACCTCTGCCTACTGGGTTCAAGTGATTCTCCTGCCTCAGCCTCTCAAGTAGCTGGGATTACAGGTGCCCACCACCACACCCAGCTAATTTTTGTATTTTTAGTAGAGACAGGGTTTTGTCATGTTGGCCAGGCTGGTTTTGGACTCCAGACCTCAGGTGATCCATCCACTTCGGCCTCCTAAAGTGCTGGGATTATAGGCATGAGCAACTGAACCTGACCGTGACTTCCTTTTTTAGTGAATCTTTTATAGGTTTTGGCATGGTCATTACTATGGGAATAGCAAAAAACGT